GCCAAGGCGTCCTTAAGCGTCTCGTGGTGCCCGAGCCTCACAGCAGCTCTGACTTCCAGGTCGCGGATGCCGTCGATGAATGTCTGCACCAGGTTCCCTTCAATGAGCGCAGGTACAGACCGGTATGCTTTTCGCACCAGCTTCTCCACTTCTAGAGCCCACTGCTGCAGGTTTTCGTTGATGCGCTGCACGCGATCTTTAAGCTGCGCACGAAAGACGTGTTCCAGGTGAGCGTCGCCATATCTCGCCTCCAATGCCTCAAGGAGTTGCTCATAAGTAACTTTCTCACCGAGAGCTTCCAGAACTCTTAAGCCCTGGTCGCGCAGGCCTAGTGTGAGAGCATTCATGGCCTGACTTTTATTCCAGCCGTTCGCCTTCATAACAGCCTCGAACTGGATTTTGTAGGCTGACCAGGAAGAAGTCCCGTCGAATGGTGGCACCTTGAACCCACGTAGCGAAGGTGTAGTAGCTACTACGGGAGCTGTAGTTCCCTCCCCAAGTTTGAGTTCGTCAAGTGATTTCCTCATGTCAGCCATTACGTTGTCAACCCGATTGTTCACTTGGTCAATTCGGGTTTCAGCTTCCGACAGGCGGTTTTCATGTTGAGCTACCTTATCCTTCACCTCCCTTATCTCTTTCCCGAAGGTAGCGTGAAGGTCCTTCATGAGAAGCATCTGTTCTTCCTGGGCACCCGCCCCGCAGCTGCTCTTCCAACCGACGGACCTGTTCCTCCTGTCGGCGAGCCTGTTCCTCCTGTCCACGAGCCTGTTCCTCCTGTCGGTGAGCCTGTTCCTGTAGCATCGCCATCAGAGCACCTAAGTCAGGTGCTGCAGATGTAGGAGCTACTGACGGGCCCGCAGCCTCCGTGGCTGGCATTTGGCCCTCCGACGTCTGCGGCGTTGCATCACCAAATCTCCTCTGGTCCGTCTCCTGCTGGCGTTGACTTCGGGTACGGACACCCTCCGTCTCGTCCTTAGGTAAAATCGGCATGATTTTATCCCACTTCTGACACCAATTGTTACGAGCTTGAGGTTCGTGACAATAAAAATTGCCGATAAAATTACCTAAATTAACACTTTAATTTACTTTACACAAATTAAAACTAAAAACACTAATAATTAAACACACTAATTCACTTAATTCCGCTCCGAAGCTTCGCTTGTGTCGCCGAGTTCAATTTTACTACGATCGCATCTTGCAGCGCCTAGTTATATAAATTAGCAAAGAAATATCCAGAATGTTCAAGTAAACACGCGCAAGGTACCGAGCGTTCGAGTTTTCGAACCTAGGCGCTGTCGGTTGAGTGATTTGTGATGTCATTTTCTCAATGCTCCCCCTCGCTCTCGTTCCTGACACTAGATGGCGCTAGTGTATCGTTGACTGGAGCGCGTAACAATAGCAAAAACGTTAGAAGCCCAAAGGCCACCAAAATAAATTTATAATCATTTAACTGTTTTGGAATATGGCTCACCAAAAATACGCGTAAATTCGTCTTTCGAGTGGATGACGCGTACCGGAGCGTTAAAAGAATCTCCTCTCTTGACATAAACTCGGCCATCTATTTGTCCACACGAATTTCCATTTTAATTTTCGGGCCGTTTCCACACGTATTGAAACAATACTAGTTTTTACGGAATTTATCGCGTATATTCAACTTTTTAAATACCCGACGTTTCGACACGCTTTACAGCACTCATGGTCACGGGCGGGACTGAGATGTTCAACGTCCATATGTCATAGTTAACCGCGGTTACCATAGATTAAAATTTAACTTTTATTCTGATCTATGCAGTATGAACTTATGGTATCTTGAAGTCTTGCAGTTGTATGCTTGGGTTGGGATTTAATTTTATTTATTATAGGATCCCAAGCAGATGGTAGCACCCAGCCATCTTCTCTATTGAAATTAGGATGTTTTCTGATTTCAATAGCCTCGCGAATCATTCTTGGAAGGAATCGGCGTTCTTTAGCGAGGATTTGCGGTCTATCAAATCTGATGTAGTGACGGGGGCGATCCTATACGTGTTCACAGAATGCAGACTTCCCGGAGCGTCGATTCTTCACATCAGCTATATGTTCTTTAACGCGGGTTTTTATTGATCTTTTAGTTTGTCCTATGTAGGAGAGACCACATTCACAATCAAGCTGGTACACTCCTGCATCTTGTAGAGGGACATTAAACTTGACTGATGGTAAAAACTGACCAATCTTCTTCAGCGGCTTGAAGTATGTTTTGATGGAAGCGCGCTTCAAGATGTAGCCAATCTTGTCAGTGACTCCTCTAACATATGGCAGTACAGCAGGTACACGCTCGACTGTGGCCGGCTTCACTCGTTCACTGTAACGTAGGCGCGGGACTCGAAGCTTGTTGTCATGCAAAACTTGCTTGACATGGTGGAGCTCGGCAGCCAGGTGTTTTTACTGTCACAGATCCCTCGTGCTCTCTGAAACAAAGATTTACCCACGGTAGCTAACTGTGAAGGATGGTGGTGAGAATCACCGTTTAATCTAGAAAAGCTAAGGAATTGTTTGCCTCTAACTCCACTGTGAACTGAATTTTAGAATTTATAGTGTTAAGATGCTCTAAAAATGCAGTTAATTTATCTAAAGGTAGAATTGTGAAAGTGTCGTCTACGTACCGCTTGTAAAATCTTGGATTTATGGGAGAACTAAGCAGGGCTTTCTCCTCAAAGTCTTCCATGAATCCGTCGGCGACAATGAGAGATACAGGTGAGCCCATCGCCACACCATCTACTTTCTTGTAGAACTCCTCCTTCCGCAATAGGTAGCCAGATGTAAGGCAGTGTCTGAGTAAATACTGCATATTCTACGGGCATGTTGTTTTCTTCCAGCCTTGTAGTTACAATTGAGATGCAATCTTCAACAGGTAAGCATGTAAACAATGACTGCACATCAAAACTGACCATAGTTTCATTGTCTGCCAGATGTAGGTCTTTAATCTCGCTGACAAAATGGCAGGAATCCTTTATGTGTGCTCTTGTGTGTCCCCTGAGCGGTGAGAGTATTTTCGCTAAGTGTTGAGCCAATCTGTAAGTTGGTGAATCGATTTGGCTCACTATGGGACGTAATGGAGCATTGGGCTTGTGTATTTTTGGTAACCTATACAATTTTGGTGATTTGGCGCACGTAGGTATTATCCATTTTACGTCCAGATTTAATTTTTAGGAGTGTTTCTTTATGAGGTTCCTAGTTGTTTTTAGTGTGCTATTTGTTGGGTTGTTTTTAACCTTTTTATAAGTACTTACATCCGAAAAAAGTTCTTGTATTTTAGAATTATAATCTCACGTATCCATGACTACCGTGGCGTTTCCCTTATCTGCGCGGAGAATCGTAAGTTCTGCTTTATTGCGTAGGTTCTTTAACGCTATAAATTCGTCTTTGGGAAGATTCGGTTTAGGCACTGAACATCGACGTAACGTAGACGTATCGCCTCCAAATCTTCTTTCCGCATATTGTTTTTAAATAAACAGTCCTTGACACTACAGATAATTTCTTCGTACGGTCATTTGCGGGGTGTAATAGCAAAGTTGAGGCCTTTGGATAAAATTCTAATTGTTGCATCATCCAGTGTTTGTTTTGACAGATTATAGAGCGCGATTAATCTATGATATGTGTTTGTCAATGGTTGCTTTTGGTTCAGGCATTGATTCAGATGATTGACATTTGACTTTTTCGTTAATTTTTGATATTTTTCTATATGTTTGCCTTTTCATTCGTTATATTTACTAATTTCGCGTTTATTTAATGTTTCCATGCAAAATTATAGTCATACGTCGTTAAAACTTTCTTTAATTCACTGGATGATGTTTCTATGGATTTATTTATGTCATATAGATCGGAGCATTTTTGTTGGATTACCGTCCGTAACAACTTTTTACTCGCCTGATTTAAGATCTTAGCGCTTCCTGGAATATCCTTTTTGGTTGATATTTTGACACACGTAGGAATGAGATTATGTTCACGGCATCTCTTCAAGAAATTTAAGGCTGTTAGATATCTTGCGCGCTTGGTCTTTAGATCTTCTAATCGGCGTATTTTATTTGCAATTACCAGTCCGTACTGGTTTAGATAATGATTTCTTATATTTATGCGAACACTACACATTGAAATAATACTAGTTGTTACGAAATTTATCGCGTATATTTAACTTTTTAAATACCCGACGTTTCGAACGCTTTACAGCACTCATGGTCACGGGCGGGACTGAGATGTTCAACGTCCATATGTCATAGTTAACCGTGGTTACCATAGATTAAAATTTAACTTTTGTTCCGATCTATGCAGTATGAACTTATGGTATCTTGAAGTCTTGCAGTTGTATGCTTGGGTTGGGATTTAATTTTATTTATTATAGGATCCCAAGCAGATGGTAGCACCCAGCTATCTTCTCTATTGAAATTAGGATGTTTTTTGATTTCAATAGCCTCGCGAATCATCCTTGGAAGGAATTGGTGTTCTTTAGCGAGGATTTGCGGTCCGTTTCACGTACTTTAGCAAATAGCACACGATTTCGTTTTGTTAGCCTCTCATTAACATAAAACTTGGTTGTTTCTTTATAAGGTAACCCTAGATCTACAGTAGTGAGCGTACAGCGCATACGTGTATTTTTCAGTAGGATGTCACGAGTGATGCGGCGGGCTAAACGCACAACGAGGGGACGTGCCTCTATACGGTTTTGATTCCCTGTTTGCACCTCTCGAAGTAGATTACTCGAATGGCGACTGACACGCTCCGCAAATACTATGTCATGATCATTTAAGGTAACTCCCAGCTTATTTGCAACTGTCGACATTATATGCACTGGGGTTTCACCTGAAACTTCAGGTATTTCAACTATTTCAATGTCATTGAGCAACGCTTTCGTGTCCTTGTTATTTATTTCCTGTTTTAATTCTTTTATGATGGTCTCCATAAGTGAAGTGTTTGAAGGCTTATTTTGTTCACTTTCTACTTATTTACGTACTCATATGTTTTCTTGCTCAAATGTTTGAACTTTTTCGCGAAGTGTACTTATTTCTCTTTTTTAAGTCGCATATTTCACCTGTTAGGGATTCGGTTATTTTCAAAAACTCACTTTTCAATTTCATTAAAACTTCATTAAATTCTTGCTTAATTTCAATTTCCGAAGCTAATGAGTGACAAGTGTTTTGTAACTTAGTGTCCAATTTATAGTCAAGCAATTTACCTAATTCTTCTAAAGAAAAAGTAGAAGTATTTTGTTTTTTACCTCCACGGTGCACTATATCCGAAGGCGGCAGTTCATTTGCTTTCATGTTATCACTAGACATGTTAATAACTTCAGATGGTGATGAATCCCCACAGTTAACTTTTACCGGTGTGTCCTCGTTTCTGGATCGCCGTTTCGTAACGTTGGTGTAAGTAGGACATTTCCATGATCTTTTAAATTTTTGATAGTTACCCATAAATTTCTCAGATGTAATATTAAGGCACATATAATGATAGGTTCCTTTACATAAAATGCATCGCAATAATTCATTTCGATCGACAGAATGTTCACATGCTGAGCATTTCATTTTACTGTACTAATATACACAACGATAGTTATTATTTATACAAAACACTTTATAATTTGTTCAAACAACAAGTGGGTATTAAGAAAAACATACGCGATTCAATAATTGTAGACGAACAGAACAATATGCAGTATCAAAGTCCACCGCACTGAGTATTAAAATTACGAAGCAATTCAACTTACAATTTCTTTGCCTTTTTACTTTAATTTTAAGTAACTAACTTCTAACTATTGATATTTGCTTTTTACACAGTATAAATATAAACATTAACTGCAAAAATATTTTTTAAACACGGAGTTAATACAATGCGCAAGCACTACTATACTACGAACTCGTAGTATAGTAGTGCTTGCGCAGCTGTGTTACGATGTGTCGAGTATATAGACTGTGCGGCATTTCATCTTTGTCTCACAGGTGACAAAACATCTGTAAAAGTTATTTTTTAAAGTTGGCTACTGGTATCCACGGACTGCAGTAACTTACTATCAGGTGGACTGTAAGTTCGTTTGTCACATCAGTTATTGAAAGAAAATAGCTTATTTAATTACCTGTTATTGTTTTAATTATTATTAACTAACCTGTTTTCTTATACCTAGTATTTAATTAAAAGCTGATTGATTAAAACTACTTTGACGGATTGTATCGCGTTTAATTTTAATTATTTTTAATTCCCGACGTTTCGGGTGCTTTCCAGCACCCATGGTCACATGAGACTGAGATGACTAACGTCCCAATGTCATGTTAAACCCAGGCCACCTTCAGGTTTTTTAATTATTGATAAATATTATTTATCTAAACGTAGTTTGAAATATTTTTGTTGGCATATACAAAATACTAGTCAACATAAAGTCTCTTTAATAACGGATGTAGTCAAAACAAGTCTATTAACTATTTGTTTGTTAAACGATAGACTTTATGTTGGCATTCTAATACAGAATTTCGTACAGTTACACACTCAGACACAGACTTTCTTTTACCCCATAACCATATTCCAACAGGTTATGTGCCCAGGTCACTTTGCTTAAAGTAATATTTAAAGTGTAGTTCTTTATTGGATTACTACTTGGGGCCGTCTAGGATATGATCACAAACTGCAGAGAAGTCTAGGATATGATCACAAACCGCAGAGAAGTCTGCAGTTTGTGATCATATCCTAGACTGCCCCAACCATTACATCAGATTTGATAGACCACAAATCCTCGCGAAAGAACACCGATTCCTACCAAGGATGATACGTGAGGCTATTGAAATTAAAAAACATCCTAATTTCAATAGAGAAGGAGGCTGGGTACTACCACCTGCTTGGGATCCTATAATCAATAAAATTAAAACTAAACCCAAGCATACCACTGCAAGACATAGTCAGTTCATTTTGCATAGATCGGACCATAAACAATAATTAAAAAAGCTGAAGGTACTCCGGGTTTAACAATGACATCGGGACGTCAGTCATCTCAGTCCCTCGTGACCATGGGTGCTGGAAAGCGCCCGAAACGTAGGGAATTAAAAAAAAATAAAAATAAAAAGTAAGAAAAAATAAACGCGATAAAATCGGTAAAAGTAGTTTTAATCATGAACATAGTATCGGAATTAATCTCACCTGGTATCAAATTAGTAAATGGATAAAATATCGCATTTATTATTAACACTGCCTACTTCATATGATGGTGTCATCACGGCTTTAGAAACTCTAGAAGAAGAACACTTTAATTTACCATTTAAAAACACATCTGTTAGACCATGAAGTTAAATTAAAGGCTGAAATAACAACAGATCTCAAAATTTTACAGAGTTCATGTAACAATTATTCGACGCCCAGAATACCCACAAAATTTGATAAAAATAAAAAGTTTTATTCTCGATCGAAGAAAATACACAAACCTAGTAGTGTGACTTATAAAATAAGTGAAATATATTGTTAATATTGTGGACGAAGAAATCACATGAATAAAGGATTTTCGTTTCTTTAAGAAAACAAAATGGAATTAATACTAAATATGCATCTACCACCAGTATAATGGAATCCAACAAAAATAATGAAGACAGTTTCGCTTTTATGCTTTCAAATTGTAAGTTTATTAATTTTAATCAAAATTCATCAAACGTTATTTGTTTTATATTAGATTCAGGTGCAATAGACCATATTGTAAATACACTGAATTATTTTACTTCATATGCAGAATAGCACTAGTATTTTAACCATTGGAAAAGGGCTAATCGACGTCTCTACCAACTTAGGATTACATGGATCAATTTACAATGTTTTATTTGCAACTGAGGTTCCGTATAATTTATTTTCCTTTTATCGCATCCAACAAGTAGATATGGTTGTTATTTTTGGTAACAGTACAGTTAAAATTGTAAAGCCCCGTTTCAAATCTATGTAAACTTATCCATTATTTAGTTCAGTTGATATTCAAAATTTAACGTGCTTGTTAGCGACGACAAAGTGAATTCGAACATTTAATCTTAATTATTCCTTACCAGTGATTTAAAACTAAGTGATAGTATTTAATCTTAATTGTTTCCTATTCGTAAAATAAAGCTAAGTGTAAAGACTGATTAGTGCTGAAAACAGGAAAGTAAATTAAACACTTCTATTCTTATCTTAAAGTAACTTATATGAATCTATTTAATATTATTTAGGTCTGATTAGAACATTTGACGCAAGTATAAGCTTATTTTCTAGTAAGATTTCTTTTATCATAACTTTAAGAGCTATTAACATATAGGTGATTAATATAATTCTTTTTCCCTTAAAGTAATTCAAAAGAAACATTAATATGTCAATTAATCACTATATAATGTTATTTCATTATGAGAAAGATTTAAATTTCATGAAAAAATATTGTATAGATTCTTAAGCATTATTCCTGAAAAAGTGTTGTACATTCCTACCTCTTGGCGGCGCTACTTGTATGTTCGGCAAAAAAATACTATCCTACTCCGGAGCTAAACCGTGAAGCGACCGCGAAGCTATTTTTATTTTTTATAAGTGTAAAATAAAGGTTTATTGAATAATTTATTTTTAGAATAATAGAAATAAGTTGTATCTATCGTTAGGAATAAATATAAATGTTGTAAGATATGTTTTACCACGTTTATTAAGGAAATTGTAAATCTCTCTTAGAAAGGGTTATTCTGTGCTCTGATTGGTCAATAGATTCACTAATGCCGTGTGCGATTTTTTCTTAATTATGATTGGTTACAGCCGCTTATAAAAAAGGGGCGTTTTTTCGTGGTAAAACATTCCAAATCCGGCAATGTAATAATAAGGAATCAAGAAATAAAATAAGAAGAAACTCTCAAGAAGTGTTATTTATTGCTCATCTAACTGCTACTGTATGCTCTCCAGTTAACATCCCGCCAGCAAACGCTCTATTTTATCAACGCTCTCTATACGAGCAATTACAGTGCTAATATTTATAAAAATACGTGTGGCACTAGGTGACTGCCGCGGTAAAGCTATTGCATAGCATTTTTTTATCAACTTATGCAATTATAATTATTTATTTATTTTATTTATGCAGTTAAGTCTTTGACATTAAATCAAGTTACACTTTTTGAGCGTGGTGACCGATAAGAAAACAATTTTTTTTCTCTTATTGAATAAATGAGAAGTTAATATTGTTTAAAACATTTTTAATATCTTACAATACATGTAGGTTATTCAGGAATTTTTATCATTGAGTTAGCAGCTAGTGTACACGCATACGTCTAGTCGCACGCAATCAAAACCAGTGCCGAAGTCTGCCGAACTGAAACGACGTTAGACGATGCACGGCTTTCAACGCCACACCTCCGTGCCCGTCGGAGTGGGGAGTGTGAGGTTTTTTTTTCGTTACGGAATTTCTGGATTCGGTCCCCGCGCTCAAGGCCCGCGATAGAAGCTATGCAATAGCTTAAAAATATATAACAACGATAAATGTATAATGTCATGTGTGAACAGCAATAATCTGTTTAAAATTTATCTTTTATCAATTCATCTCAGTGTCATTTAAATATTAATAAAGAATCATCTTATGATTTATGGCATAGACGTTTAGGCCATGTTAATAAACAGAAATTCATTTTATTGAAAACTATGATCGACGATTATCACGTTATAGAGAATATTATTCCATTAGTATGCTTTGGGTGAGCCTTGCATATTAGGCAAGCAATGTAATTAGCTTTCACAAAATCAAAAGAAAAATCTGTTAAAAATAGACCACTTTTTAATATTCATTTCGATATTTGGGGGCCAATAACGCCTGCAATTATCACGTATTGAAATATTTTAAGGATTATGTTGCAAAGGCTGATAATGTGTTTAATTTAAAAGTTGTAATTTTTTATTATGAGTGAGTAGTATTGTGTCGCAAATATCTTTCTAACGATTTTAAAGAATATCGTGTTTGTTAGGAAATAATGTATCATCTGACGATACGAGTCGTACATTAACCGAAATGACAAGAACATTGGTTTTAAGTGCGAATTTAGACAAGATATTTTGGGGTAAAGATGTTTTAACGGCTACATATTTAATTAATATATTACCCACAAAAGCTTTTATTAAAAAAAACACCATATTAGATGTGGCATGCTAAAAAGTACAAAATAAATAATTAAAAATATTTGGCTCAACTGCTTACTTGCACGACAAAACAATGAAAGGTAAATGTGATGAAAAATGCTTTAAATGCATATTAGTAGGGTATAACTAAAATGAATATAAATTGTTTAATGTGGAAAATAATCATTTTTATAGCCAGAGACGCTTAGTTTGACGAATTAGATTTACAAAACTCTAGGGCAACACGTAGCAGCAACGACATTTATGATATTCCCGCAAAAAATTAATAAGCCTGACAATGATTCGGCAAAATTAATGGGTTACAAATACAATCATTACATAAACATATTTGCAATCGAGTAATTTAAGGCGTAGTGAAAGAGTTCTTCATCTATTCTTAATTTATTTGAAAGATTTATTCTTAACCTTAACAAATGCTCAGTCT